ATTATTTTATATTATAGTAGGTACAGCAGTATATATCATAATTGAAGTAGTAAACATATTTTTATTTAAATAATAAATATGATATGAGTTCATAAAACCTGCAGGTGTTAAGTGATTATTTAAATCAACTATTTTTATTTGTATACTTTCATTCGAAGATAACCTTTTTTCTACATTTTACACTTCCCATTGTATACAAACGTACATAATAAAAAAACGAATGTTTGAAACTTGTCTATGGCTTTATGCTTTCCTTAGAAATATTTCAATTTACTTAGGCTAAAATGAAGTTATGATTTGTTTTTCTCGCCTACTATTTAATATCAATGCTTTTTCTACTATATTAAGTGTTTCACGGTGAATCGATAATTGCAATCACTTTGTTCTATTGAACATTTTCAACTTTTTTTTTTTAAATTATCATTGTCATCTGCGCTATATTTAATTACATTTTTCGATTTTTTTTTTTAAATTCGGTATGTAAAATTAAGAAATAAAAATAGCCATTTTGTTGATATGACTTTTAAAATATATTCTCAAAAAAAAAAATAAATAATAATAAATGTTCAGCCATTTATTTTCCAAGGTTTTTTTGAAGTTTGCACAATTTTATATTATTTTGAATAGCTTTTCTGGATAATTGATTATCGATAATAGCTGTAACACTGATAAACAAGAAATATATTTGAATTTAAGAAAACTATAAAAATTATTTAAAAATTATTGACTCAATCTTAGAAAAGTTTTTGACACCAAAATTTTTTTTAAAATCAGATTTACAAAAATGGCTATATTGATGTTTTTAAATATCAAATAGTCAAATAGAACATTTTTTAAATTTAATTTTGCATAAAAAATGTTTAAAAAAAAATTGAAATATAGCGCAAATGACAATTGACAATTTAGAAAAAAAAAAGTTGAAAATGTTCAATAAAACAAAATTTATTGCAATTGTCATAGTTCATCGTGAATAGTATAGTACATACTATAATAATATATATTTAAATAAAAGGATATATTGTAGTGCCGTGTATTACAGTCATTTATAAATATTTTATAAAACATAGTTAATATCTATAGATACTAATTATTCTAAGTTGCATAAAAAATCGCTAAATATTTAACAAATTAATAGTGAGCTAATCAGTTAATGGTCCCTTAAACTTATTGATCAATGATTGCTATTAGGTATACATTTTACTATTTTAGTAAACCATTAATTTATAGTAATTATTTCTATAATTTATAGTTCACGGAATCCGGCATAAGTATTACATTTTAGCAGAATACTGGTTTATTAAGATAGGTCAAGTAGGTGTATGAAGCGACTGAGTTGCAACATCAAAATATTATTTGACCATTGCGGCAATAAAATGCCGTGTGGTTGTGTGGAAGTGTTTCATCTCTTCTGCCTGGATGTCGCGCTAACAGACGTGTTTTTGTCGTGTGTAGATACTAGATAATAGTGATGATTGGGATATAAACCAGTGTATTTTTTACTGTGTTTGTTTTATTTCAAAGAAAGGTTTCCGTGTATGTTTAACGTTTAATTTAATACCTTTCTATTTTTTTGATTAATTCTACCTGAAAACGATGAACTAATGGTCGTATTAAGGAATTAAAGTAATAGAGAAGTAGTAAACTCTAAAAAACTTAACTTAATATTTTGTTAGATTTTCAAGTGTAGGCAGAAGTGAATAGTGCATTAACTATAGTAAGTACACGGAGTAGGTCAGGGTCTTATACTTCACGAATTTTATGTGTGTAGTCACACAGGGTATATTATGTTAAATACTGAACTGAAAATATGATGTTCAATGATGTTATGTATACTGTATCTCAATAAATATCTCAATAATTTATAACTTTAACATTGACAATTTCAAACGTGTCAAATTTTTTTATCGATACAAATGTTTTGTTTAACAACTTCGATTAAATAAAATTGTATTATTCTTTTAATCTTTTCCTTGTATTAATGCAATGTTAAAACTGTTAAATACTTATAAATAGTTATAAGTAGGTAGGTAATATATTTATTTGGGATGTAAATTTATAGAAAATTAATTATCTTATTGTAAAAAATAGCTTTCATCACACAAATTTAGAATTAGATATTCCTAATAAAGGATTTAAATTTGAAACTTAATATAATATTAAGCAATGATTTGTATTTTGTGATATTTTTTATTAATTTTATTTTGATGTTTTTAATAATTCTGCGAATAAAAACTTTTGTGTACATTTTATGAATGTGTATAAAAGATTTATGCATGAAAATTAAAAGTTTTTTTTAATAAGAATGTGTTTTTAATTTTATGTCTTTATTGTAGTTATAATAGGTATAGTCGTAAAAATAGTACTGTAGCAAGCACTTACTTATAGACTACTAAATGTCTTAAAGAAATCAGTGAAATGTTTGTACATATTCTTGCAGATTGTATTAACTATTGTCTAATATTTTAGTTTTTATTCTGTTTTCGTTTAAAATACCAATTCATTTATATTAAACTAGGTAATTAGGTGAAAACTAAAAAGTTAATTTGGGTTTTTAGTGTTTTTAAAATGATATAAAAAGTAAATATGAATTTTTACAAATACCGGGATAGTTAATAATTTTAGGTACTAACTATATGTCTATATTTTAAATTTGGCTTGTAAATTATATAGTTCTATAGTTGATTCTGGTAATTACTGTAATACACAAATATCATATATTATATTTTATATCGTGTACATACTACTTCTAAATAGCTAATATATTATTATAAACCACTTTATTAATCAAATACTAATTTATATACTCTATTATTATGATTATATAGATTATAAGTAGAATTCGATGTGTAAATTATGTATAAATATTAAATAGGTATTTATAATTAAATCTACAAACATTAAAATAAATATAACAATATTATAGTTAATAGTTTAACATTTTAATTATATTTTTACTTGCTAATAAAAATTTTATAATATAGAATTGACTAAAGTAACTTGTCCTACTATCATTATACCTATTACTGTTGCCACTGTCCAGCATTGATGCAAAGTTAAAACCAGTTAGGTATTGCAGTTTTCAGCGGTAAGGTCAGTAGGAAATAGGAATAAATAAGTAATAACGCAACAATCACTTGGGTACATATTAAATTTAGTACTAAATAATATTTACTATTTAGTTATCATTAACTCATATTATTTATAACCTAATCAGGCATCAGATGTTTTATTATGTGAGTTATAGATATTATAAAATAAAAAAATACTATTTTTGCTATTTGGCGAATGCAATTATATATGAATTAATCATAATTCATATTTAAGTACTATAAATGTACTCGACTGTTTAAACTACAATAGATAAACTGATCTTATGTTTTAAGAACTATATAAGATTTCTTAGTTTAACTTATGTAATCTTTATATATTATATACATATTTTGTCATACATATTCATACAATTTTACTTTTTTTATTTATGATTTAGTGAAATTGTTAAATCAGTTTTTAAGTAGAAGCATAAAATGTATATCATTATTTTACAACAATTTGCAATTTCAATCATAATTTTTGAAACATACATATTATACTTTCCTATATAACTATAATATTATGCAAAATATAGTATAGCAATAGTATTGAAGTGATACATTTTGATAGGTACCTAATTCTTATTGTTATATTTTTCTAGTATTATATGTTAATATTAATATAAATTTAATAAGATTTAACTCTGATGGTTCAAATATAATTATGATTATTTTAAGTTAATAAATAAGTTAAATCATTATTTCATAGTATATATATAGGTACCCCATATAAATATATAATCCCCCATTGATTATTTTAATATTTTTAATTATTCAGTAAATTATTAGCGATTGAAACAAGAAGACCATGGTTAATGTAATGAAGTTCAAATACTTTTACATTATAAACAAAATAATTCTAACTAAAAAACTAAAATGCATATTTTGAATGATTTTTTTTTTTTTGCTTTTTATGTTCTGGCCCGTTACAATTTTGAGTTGTCCATTCTATAATATAAACCTTAACCCCTCCCCCCCCCATTAAAAAATGCTGTCTATGCCCTTGAAACATTATTTATGATAGTATAAGATATAGTTTATTCTCAGTATCAAGCACGTAATGTTGGATGATCGATGAATTTATTACTTAAATATTTTACACTATGTGATTGACTGAAATGCATTTTCTTATTTTCTTAAAATATTTTTTAATTTTGAATGTAAATGTTTAAATATTTTTACACAATATGTTGTCATATTTTTCCATGATTAAATCTGTTAGGGCCAATTCCAGGTAGGGAAAGATGTTACTTGAAGAAATTCATATAAATCCATCATTGTTAATGTAAGACACGAATAATATTTTTTATTTAGACTTTTAATACGAATATTCATTGTAAACAGTTAATATATTATGAAAATATTATATTGTTTATATATATTATTAGGCGAATCAAAAAGTATGGCTGGTTAATAATAATCATTTTTAAGATTTTTATTGTGCATCTTATTTAACACTTAATTATATGCTAAACAATCATGCAGACGATGTAGACACAAATATTATCCAAGTATAAATTTATGAACATCTCGTAGTCTTTAAACATACATCTTATTTTATAACAATGGTTAAATGTTAAATATAACCATTGATTTATTATTATTATTTTTTTGTTTTGCAAGAATTGTATTTTAGTTCCTTCCGTATACAAACAGTGTAAACTATAAGAGACGTTTTGGAATAGTTATGGGATTAACAATAATAGGAAAACAAATTGTTTTCTTCATAAAATTATTCGCCGTAAGATATATATATTATATACACGTATGCGAATCCTAACTTAAAATTGGTTCGCCTAAATACTCGACGACCTTGCCACCACCTTTTCACTATGTTTATTTAAATGTTTATTTGTTCCCCTCCATTAATAAATTATTGCTACGGGAGCAAATGAAGGAAACGTGCATCTCGTATTCGAATAGACAACGATTTGATCGCTAACGGTCAATGAGTCTATACCTATTGTGCTTGAATAGAAAACTATCAGTCTCGTTTTTCGCAAATATTTAATCATGCCTTTAATAGACGACGAATCTGGGATCGTTCTCAATGGTAAGCTTATACGCATCACATTTTGTAAAATATTAATAAAACAACATGGCATTTTTTGAGTTTCTTCTAAGAACTAGCCCTTCATAAATAACACCTAATCTACCTGGTTTTATCGATGGTTACAAAGTTACTACGTACTTTTATAACTTATTTTAAGTTTCTCACCTTATTACTTTTAAATAATGCTTTTTGACACTACATAGGTAACTGTTTTTGGTTCATAATATTCTTGTTTTCTTATTTCCTTAGTTTGTTAATCACCCTTTTAACTTTACTTATTTTTAAGCATTTAAAATAATATCCTTAGCTACCATATTACATACTCAAACTTGAGTAACTTTTATACATTTATTTTGATTTGCATTTTCTTTCTCCACTGAAAATGATTTCATTTTTCAAACCTTGTTTAGGTCATTCTACTGTTAGAGTTTTTCTTAATATTATAGATTCAAAATCAGCGTGATTTTAAAATTTTTTTTATCAAATACTTTTAAGTCCTACATCTCTGATTTTTCTACTGATATTTCCTTCTCCTAAATTTTGAATTACCTACATAAAAAAAAAATTCACAATAATCGCAATTTACATAAATAAATAATGCAGGCATTTAACGAAAATAAGAAAAAAGGATTTTGTCAAAATTACAGATCTATTGGTTAAGACTAATAAATATTATTTTTTTTATTTGAAAAAAAAGAATAGAAATAAGCGTTCATTAGTTTATTAATTAAAATCATTATTTTTGTTAATTTGAATTTATACGAATAGAATTAAAACTCATATAAGACCACCCTGAGGATCCCATGGGTATCGCTAGTTTATGGCAGTTAATGTAAAATAATATATTCTGATGCTCCTTGTGATCTTTGGCTTATTTATTGATTTCCCAAATATTCTTATTTTAAAGTACCCTTTGATTTTTTCTAAAATGATTATGCGGTATTAATGGTTTTCAAAAAGCTAATTTCTTTGAATTTAACTTTTAAAATATTTTTCTTCTTTTATGCAAATTTACTTTTTAAATTATTATTACTGACTTTGTTTTATAATTAATGATTTGATCAATGAAATATTACCGATAGAATATTTTAAAAATTAAATTAATTTTGACGGTGCATTTGTATTTTTCAGAATCCATAAAAATTAAAGAAAAATCAACTGTGCCAATAACAGCAGATGAAGAATATGCAAAAAATCCAGAAATATCCAAAGAAAATATAGAAGATTTAAGAAAATGGATAGCAACACAGCCACATTTACCACAAAATATTCCAGGTAAGCAATTTTTTGAAACTAAAAAACCATAAAATATGTTTTAAATATACAGTTATTTAATTGCAGTTCTTAATTTTTTAATATGTGAAAAGAGTAAGTTAGTATTATATTATAATAATATATCGTTATTTATATAATTTAATTAAAATTTTTACTTTAATTATATACTACATTTATCACGTACAAACAAGTACAAACAAGTATAAAATTATAATATAATTCATCTTGAAAAACATGTTAGCCGTGAACTCAACTTTTTAATTAATCTAATATGGATAGGTACATTTAAGATTATGATTTTTGTTTTTATTTTAAACACAATTTAACTCAATATTATATTAATATTCAATGTCTTAGGTATCAATTTCATAAAGTTAAATGTCTACGCATTTGAATACAGATGGAATATATGTAAATGTTTTTATTACCTATTTAATCTGTATTTATTAATGTAATTTTTTAGTAACCTAGATTTTTTTGTAAACAATACAAATAGGTAATCATTTAAGTTATACATTTTAAGTATTAATATGAAAATATTATAATCATAGCACATTTATGAGACGTAGCTACATATATGCATATATATTATACAGACATAGGTAATACTGTATTATGTATATTATTACTTATGAACGTTGATATTTTATTAACTTAGTATCATATTAACACACTTTTATTTTATTACCTTTTTAATTTTTTTGAATGAAATATATAATTTAATTTTCATAAGAGTATTTTCTAGAACTTATAACTTCTATTGGTCTGTGTTTAATTAATATATTTGCATTTTCTTTAGATTATTTTAAGAGACCAAAATACTATTAAATAATGATAATATAGTCTTTGTTGACTTTTTACGATATTATAACTATGTTTAGTATATTGAAATGCAATTTTAATTGAATTCCTTTACAGACTATTATTTATTAGAATAGATACCTGCCTATAGGTAATTATGGACTATTATACTTATGCCATTAATGAACATTCATTATGAATTATGATAACACATTTGGGATTTTATTTATTGAAATTAATACTTAATACTGTCAACAAGCAATGAAATTAATTAAAATAACATAAAATATGAATAACAATTTTAAGTAACTAAATAATATTTATTTTTATCGGATACATTTTAAACATAAACACGATGAAAACGTATTTATTAATTATTCAAAATTAAAAAAATTGGATAATTTATAAATTAATACTTATAATATTCATGAATCATGAGTTACTTGTAATAACTAATAATTCTATTAGTTCTTTATTTTTAAACGTAATCATTGATTGTTTTAGTTTGTTTACCTGCTTATAGATATTTTAAATTTGCGTTATTTTTATTAAATAGAATGGTTTGTTGATAAAATCGTTAGTTTTATCATTTTTTGTTCTCATAATTTTTTTTTTAAATTATTAATATTTAAGTAGTTTAATATTTCAAAGTTTTTACACAATAGTTAAAATTTGATTTTAACTTTAACTAATATTATAAGGAAAACAATATGATATAATTTAAAGAATATAATAATACAACTTATTATAGATTTGTAAATAGTTTTTCATTTTAAAGTTCAGTAAGTTAAAATTATTTTCAATTTTATAATTCTAATTATACAGGTAAGGTTTATATTTAAATGAAATATTGGTCATGTAGTAAAATAAATATTAAATTTAGCATATTTAAATTAACATAGTTTGTATTATGTAATTTACCTTTAGGTTTTCGTTAAAATAAATGCATATTAATAGGTCTTTATGTTCCTATCAAGGTTTTTTTTTAGATTTCGCTGAATATTATCTTATAGTATAACAATTTGCAGCATTTTTTTTTCTGTACATATAAATGAACGAGTAGGTTATAAAAACATGTTTTTAATTAATAAGCATTTTTTATCCTTTATTGTATTATGTCTTGCGTATTTTATTTAATAGTATAAATTTGCTAACTAATTAATTTACTTTGGAATATGTTGCGAGTAGTCTAATAAAAACAAATTTCGAACTAATAATAAGATATAATAAGTTAGATATTATTGTATGATCTGCCAATTAAAGTTCATTTTAAGTTAGATAAATAGGCTTAGGGTAGGTGCAACGGTGTAAGTAATACCTCGATGGCTCAGTACCTCCATACCAATAAAAAAAGTATATATGTAATACAAACAAGATAATATCAATAAGTATAAAAATATTTTTTTAACGTTTTTTTAATTTTTGAAAAATCTATTATTATTCATTAGTATAATATTAGATAAATTATTTTATACAGTCATATTTATCATGAAAATGATCAGTTTTTGTACTTCTGTTTATAAATTATAATTTGTTTATTAGGTTTACTAACCTTTTAAAATTTATCAACAAGATAAAAAAAAAAAAAAATGCTTCAAAACATAAATACCTTGTGACATTGTCATTGTGTATAACAAGCATATTCCTAAGTACATAATACGGAAATGTACAATTATTTTGTTTATTTTTACTTCTACAATTCATAAACAGAATTATTGAAGTGTTAATTACCTACATTTATAGTTTCTACATTTTTAGCAAATTTAATACTTTGAGATTTTAATTATACAAATATAGACAATGGTTGGGAGTTATAAGAAAAAAATTATACACACATTTTACTTTAAAAACATCTTTCTATATGAACTATAAAATTAGAAATTTAAATAATATATTAGTTAAAATTTAAGCAGTGATCATATACTTATCGAATATAAATATTTTTAAAATATATGATTTTATAAGACGTACTTGGGTACATGTAGGTATAATTATTTGTATAAAAAGACATATCAGAAATATTGGAATTAATCACTGTTTTATTTTCTAGAGGAAATGCTGATACTTTTTTACCACAGTTGCTATTTAAAAATGGAACAAACCAAAAATTGCATAGAAATTTACTACACACTTAAAACAGAAACTCCAGAATTTTTTGCAAATCGTGACGTTTCTAGGCCAGAACTCGTTAATGCTCTTAACGTTTTGTAAGTAAACTTATTCCATTTTCTTCTTTTGCGGTATTATTACTACTACTATCTAATATTTTTAAGCTTCTGAAGGTTATTTAATATTGGGTTTACTAAGTCGTTTCTGTTAAACTTATTGTATGAACTTGTGCAATAAAGAATTGCGTTAAAGTAAGTATCTATATATTGAGTCTTAATAACTAGGTACAAACGTATATATTATTTTATTTTGTGTACTGAAAACAAGTTTATTCGAATTTATCATACATAAACAGTGAACCGTGACTTATTGATTAATAATTTTCAAATATGTATGTTCCAATTATTGTTTTTAATTTTAGTTTGCATGTAATAAATAATTTAAAATTTAAAAACTAAAATAAAAAAATCATATAAAAATATATAGTATTTAGTATTCATTATGTCTATAGTTATAAGTAATAATTTATTACTTCAATTCAAATATTGTACTGAAGTTTAAATGTTAAGAACGGTGGGCATTTGTTGTAGTCGTTAGATATGTAAATAATATGTTGTCATTGTAGTAATAGTATAATATACTTGTAGTTTGTTATGTAAAATACCTAACTGACAATTAAGTGATCCAAGTTGGACTTTTTGCATATGAACAAAGCATGGTATAAAATATCAATAAATAAAAAATTTCTGGATTAATTTTTACGTACACAGTTTATACATACGTACCTAAAAATTATATCAAATTAAATCTTCTAAAAGAAATATTAAAATATTTTACAAGTAACTTAAACATGCGCTAAGTAAAATTATTTATTGTAATAAGATTTAACTTTTATTTGTTTTTTATTTTTGATCCTTATTTAAGTTAAAAATTAAATTTTTTCCAGGTACAATACATATGACAGTATACTGTATAGAGATGAATATTATGAATTTAATATATTCGTTAATAAAAATAAAACTATATAATATATATATCCTTATATATATAAAAGAACATCCCTTTTTTATGTTTCCGTTTTGTGACGACACTATTTACATTTTTTCAACTATTTTTTTTCGCAGAGTTGTTCAAAATGCCTTTCTGAGTGTCACCTTGTCGCCTGATTTTTTATTATCTTTCCTTGATGGGAGGAGGAGAGAGGGATTGTTTTTTAATTTTTTAATTGTTCCCATTTTTTGACGACACTATTTAACATTTTTCCAATTTTTTTTCACTGACTTGTACCAAAGACTCCTAAGAGTGATCATTTTATATATAGTGATATTTTTGTTTTATTTATAATTCATCTACCACTACTCTTTAGCACTTAATAAAATTAAGTAAAATATTGAGAAAGTACAAATTACACACGGGTGAAGCTGTGTCATTCGGCTAGTATAATATAGAATTTATATATATATTTTTTAATAAACAATATATTTTCTACTTTGATTGTTCATAGTACAGTTTTATTTTATTACATGCATGTTATATTTATGAAAACCGTAATATATATGATAGTATAACACATTTATAAAAATAATTATTGAGTTATATCCATGTTTATCATAAAACTTAATAAAAAAAATAAATTTACAACAGATAGCATATAAAACATCAAGTTATTAAATATTTTAATTCAGTCTATTGCATAAAATGGATACAATATTTCCTAATACATTATATTAAATATTAAAAGTTATGATTATTAATTTTAATAGTTTAATTACAATCTTAGAAGTATTTACTCATAAGAACGAAGAGTGGTCTTTACGTTGCATGAGTAGAAGAAAGCCTACTGATTTTATGCAGTATTTTGAATTTTGATGCTAGGTACTTAACGTCTTAACATTGTTTTTACTGTTGTATAGTATTAATATAACTCAAACGTATTTTGTTGTCCTTTATTGTTAACTCTCTAAATTGTAATGAATAAGTATTAAAAGTGTATACTTGTTAAAGACCGGACAGTCCCTACCGACCATGTAATATGATATTTATAATTATCATTAACACAACTTGTGACATACATAAATGCTGAATATGCATCATATGCCATAATAAAAACAATAATAAAATGTTAACAATTTTTGATTAAATTTGTCTTTTAACTTTATACTAATTACTAGATGATCCTTTTAATAGAAGTTAGTATAATAAATAAATATATTTTTATGATAAAATATTAACGTTTTTTAGAATGTTTTTTTTACATAATATTAGTTATTTAAATAGTACTTCCAACAAGTAGCTAATTAATAAAATATGTAATGTTTAGACGGGTAGAGTAGAATGACAAACAAAATTGTGTAACAGAATAAGAAATCAAAAATACATGATGTAATTCAAAAAATTAAAAACTTAAAAATATATAATAATGATATGCAAAGAGTACTTTTGTAATAATTTCATTTAATTAAAAAAAAATAATTGCAAAGACGTTAATATAGTTTATGAAGTAATCACCCTGTACAAGTGATTATAATAATATTATATAGTTCTTGACAGGAAACCACTGATTGAACTGTAGGTTATTTTTTCTTGTTATATAAATGTAAATTATAGGTCTAATTTTATGAGAGGTCAAAATCCATCAAATATTTTTTTTGTCTAGTTTAAAAACAAAAATACTATAACAACGACAGAGTCACAAATGTCATTTAAAAGTGATAGTTCAATCTTAAAGCATTTCGATATAGGTAGTTTAATATAAAAAATGATTAAACGTTCGACGATTTTGGATTATATTAATATAATCATCTATTATTTCATTTGTGAAACAAAATATGATTTGATTATTATTAAAATTAATTTAATATTATTTTCTGATGTATGTAAATAATGTTAAAGTGATTTTCAAATAATGAACAAATCAATAAAATCCTCGGAAATTTGTATCCAGAAAATAAATAATTATGATACAAATACATTTATGTTTTCCTCACCAAAATTTTATCTCTTTTAACAGTTTTAACAATTTTTTTTTTTTTTTTTTATCATTACTGATGGAAATATTTTTAACCATAATAATTAATCAATACATACCTACAAGTATAAAGCATCTAGTTATTAATTGTATAACCCAGTATATTTGCGTAGTTGATTAACTAATCACATTAATTTAGATTCAATCCAGTGATACGTACTGACATTTAAATACCTTATCTTATTTTAAATTTAGCTACATTTGGTAAAATTACCATATCGTAGAACTAACCTGTAATTAGTTATGTTATGTTAACCAAGAAATAGAAAATTTTAAAAATAATTAATAACATTTACACCATTTATATTGAAATATGTGTTATTATTTAAAAAATAAACTTTTAAACAAGTACGAGGAAATATAAAGGAATAATAATTACCTGTTTCAGAAATCAAAATATCATGAATAATAACTAATAAGTAGCGTCGTAGCAATAATAATAAAAATTATAAAAAATAGTTAAATAATTTATTAATAACTAATTTGTTTTCTGAGTGATATTTTGGTAAGGTTAATATCAATCTCATTTACGATTATTGAATTAAAGAACACCACACTTATATATGCTGCTCTGTCTTATAAACTTACGACATATCAATTTTGTAGTCAGCAGTTGTGATTTTGTGTTATAGTTATCAATAATATATACTTAGTGAAGCGAATTTATTTTTTTGACTTATTACCCAAAATTTAAAGTTAAAATTAAGAATATTATCTGTTTTTTTCGTGAGTTTTGTGATATTTTAATTTTTAAGCAATTAGTAATTTAAAAATTACAATAAAAACTTATAACTCTTATAACACATAACATATTTAAAAATCAAAATATTATAAAATACCTAAGTGAAAACACAGATAATTTTCAAATTTGATAATAAGTAATAGTTCACTTTATTATTAAAATTTACAACACAAAATTGAGACTACTAAACACAAATTTGTCCTCTTAACTAATATTGATAAAAATAATTTTAAAAGCATAAGTAACCTGGAAATAACTGTATTCTATTCGAACTAGAAGGGTTTAAAAAATATAATAATTAGCAAAACTTAAAAATTGAAATAAATTGTAATACATTTTGGATCAAAATATTGATAAATTAATTTAATTTAAATTGTTGTACTGACGTTAGAACAATATTATAACTATTTATTAGTAAAATAAATTCACAATTCACTAAAGAAATACTTTACCACACTTTTTTTGTATTGTCTGCATCTTTCCATTTTTCTGTAAAATTTTTTGTAAGTACCTACCTGTTGTTAAAGTATGAATTTATATTAGACCGATATAGGGTAGTGAAAGATTAACGGATATCTTCGCCGATAATATTAACTTTAACTATAAATTTTTTTTTTTTAAAGTTTTTCTGACAAGATCATCTAAACTTAGTGTTAGTACAGTTTTTTTTTTTTTTTTTTTTTTTATTTTATTTTATTGTGAAATAAGAACTTATAATAATTTTAAATACGTAAGATAATATTAATATATTTATATATTTATTTATTAATAATAGTATCTTAACAAATTATAAAATTTTGAATAAACTTACATCATTAAACGTTTTAGAAAATAAATATTTCGTAGTACTTAGTAAATAATTACATTTAATATTAATATAATAATGTAATAAATATTTAGTACGCTATGCAATTACATAATATATACCATAAAATATTTATACGTACCTGATAATTGAAGGTTGTTTTAATTTGTATTATTGGTAACTATTTTTAAAATTTTAATACGTGTAAAAATTGAAAATACGATTTTAAATATTGTCTAACCACATCTAATCAGGATATTTTTGCATGATGTGTTTGGATTTTGATACATACACATCATACAATATTTACTTTTAAACTTAGTTAATGTTTAAGACGTATCCTGGTATGCTTAGATGTCTAATAGAATTTTAATATGACTTTAACTAAGTACCGTATTATTTTTTGTTAACAAATTAAGAAAAAATGTATAAAATTATTAAATGGTATTTTGAAATTTATTGTATTGTTGGAATGTTAAATTTTTAAAACGTAATATTAACTTATGTATAGCCATGTAGGCTGCTTAGACTATGAAGACGTTTTCATTTAATATTTAATACTAAAAAAAGGTACAAATTTATGGATTTTTGTTTAATTAATGTTATTTGTGTTAATGTATACAATAATATACTTATCCGAAAATTGATTTGTAACCTAGATATCTGCATTTTTTTGTTTCATTTTATCTTTTTCACTTTTTTGATAGATAATAATAATATAAATAATTTTAATTTAAAAATGTTTAAAAAATAATCACCACTTATCATAGGAATTAGGATGCATAAAGTTAAGTATTAGATAAAATTATTTGTTTAATTTGCGTATTATATTAATATATAATACTTTTTTACAAATGTTTATAAGCTAATTTCGTTTAATTTGAATTTTCGGTGATCCGAACGGGTTTTATCAAGTCCAGATTAATAAATTAAACTCTACTGTATTTTAATTAATAGGTATTATTATGTACTTAGCCACAGATATAGACAGGTATGTAGAATGTGAAGGTACTTACTGGCATACTGCACAATTATTGAACTAAACAAATTTACCTACAATAATTTATTTTTATTTTTATAACTTAATGAAAAATTTTCAAATAATATTTGTATGTTGTTATAATTATTTGATAGTCTTAAATCATGTTCAAACAATTTAGTATACACAAAATGATTTAAAAAGAAAAGTTGTCATCCTTCGTATTATAATCCTTGAATAGATTACTTACGGTCTTGTGATATTTAAGTATTAAATTTAGATATGTTACTTAGCTTTAAGAGAAATCCTATTTACTATATTATACTTTTGATTAAATGATTAAGCTTATAAAAAAAAATGCTTGTCATATGAACGCAGTTTTGTATTGTTAAAATACACTTTGAAGGAATAATAATAAATTATAGTTGTAAGATGTTTAAATTCTTTATAAATGTAAAATTACAATTTTTATCAAATTAAATATATTGAAAACAAAAAAAAAAAAATAAATAAATATCAAATGAAACTATTTTGGTGCTTGTTAATAGGCACTAGAAACATATACTAGCTAGTTATAAAATTTTACTAACTATAAAACTGAATTATGTTCATTAAATATGAATTATCCTGTTTCACTAGGAATCCAAAACATGGTAAAATATTTGTATAATTATTTATGATCTGTAGGGTTACAACTTACAACAATATTTTATTTTTTAAATAAATTGATTTAATTATATACTGTTATAATTTCATAAACTGATAAAAACATATATTTGCAGAGATTATGGTTGTTTGCCGATTCGCAATCCAAATGGCTACCAAATCATCTACCACAAATTACGAATTTTCGAGGCCAATAAATATGTGTTTAACGATGGTGTTAAGTTGTTAATTATGGCAATGGATGCGTGTTTCAAGGTGGACGGTACTTGTCCTGGGTATATATTTTTATTTGACATGCGCGGTGTCCGATTGGGTCATCTCACCAGACTGAGCATATCTTCACTTAGAAAATTCTTCACTTTCATACAAGTATTTACACAATCAAGTATATTACTATAGACATTTATGTAATTATATTTAAAAAGATTTTTTTCAATATAGATTGTAGGTGTTGAAAACAATAAACGGTTTTCATATTAAATATGTACCTCATTTTTTTATTAGGTACTGTACTGTTGTAGTTACTTTAATGCCAAGGTTAGGCTTGTAGGCTGCATCAAAGGTTTGTAGTTTAATCAAAAAGTCATCTTGTTCGGGAAAAATGTAATAGGTAGTTGGGGCAAAAATATTTATCGCCTTTACATTTTTATTAGGTTCTTTACATAATATAAAATTTAGGTACAGATTTTTGTACAATTATCTAAATACACAAACTGCAGGGTAAAATAAAATTAGGTAAGCGTTTTAACAATTACCAGTATTCCTAAGTACTTTAATAATATATTTTTAATAAATGCACTGTTGACTACTATTAGAAATTGTCATATTTGAGTTGTTTACTTTACTTTTTTTTTGTGTTACGAATGGGTCAAATAATTAGATCAAGGTTGACAAGAATATAAAAATATAAAAATGTACCTATCTACCTAGTATGGGATACATTATAAACGTAACTCTTTTATTTTAATTAAGTAATGTTGTATCTTAATGATATATATTTGAAGTGCATACTTACTGGTAATAACTTTAAAATTGAATATACTAATAGTTTATGTCGAATCGTAGCTTAAGATGATATCGGCAAATTATATTTATTTTTTTTCTCTGACCTTGGTACAATAGTAACCTTGCTGTGGACAAAACCAATTTTGTTTTATTAAATCTTTGATATTAAAATGAATTAGTTTATTACCCAGCTAAAAATATAATATTAATATTATCTAGAAAACCTCGATAGCTTTTTTTGAAATTTTAATTTTAAATTAATTTATGAAAACTTTTATGTGTCATTATAACTTGATTAAAAATTAAAATATCAATGAAGAAAAAAAATGTTAATGCACAAAATAGTTTTATAGCGTGTCACTCAAATATTTAAGCTAACAACACAAAATTAGTTCTTCTAAATGTAAATTTTCTAAGTTACGCGCGGGCCAGAGATAAAAAATAGACAAGAAGTATAGGTTCTGACATGTAACCTGCTTTTAAGAAAATCTAGATACTATAATTAAGATTAGAATAAGTTTAATAAAAATTATTTTCATATCGCCACAGTATAACAAATCATGAACTAGCTCAACGGAATTCTAAAATTACAATTTAGTATTAAAAATACTTTTTTTAATATTGTATATAAGGATCCATTACTTATTTGAATGATTTATGTTTCGATGATATTATTATTTTTAATAACTCTGTCTATCCGCTTCCATTATATCGTTATAAATAATAAATAATAACACTATTCATTTTATAAAATTATGAATTTATAATATTTTTTTATAACGATATAAAGGTTATTCGCTATTATTGAATAGGTACCTAATCATTGACATCAGCATAAACAATCAATTAAATCGTCTATTATCTATTGTACAATGCATATTGTTTTTTTAATTTTGTTTCTTTTTTTTTTACTTAATCTCACACTAAAGTTAATAATAATAATGTGTTGTTAATAATTACGTATTTTAGGTTATTATAGAAATGCAAATTTATATATATTTTTATTAAATTTAATTAAAAATGAATTATTGGTTATACTCATCAAATAGAAAGCAAGCTAAGTAACATGCTTGTAAAATATGATAATCCTTACTTAAAGGGGCAATGTGTATAGCTATGACTTCTTATCAGTTGAGCTTAAATTAAAATATTCACAATAAAATACAATAAAAAAATACTCATGTGAAGTATAATATTTCATTAATACTCATCCAATAAGTGTATTTTTTATGTATTTTACCTCTTTATTTAAGTATTAATTCACATTTTTTTTTTTTTATCCTAAAATAATAATTGCTTATTTAACATTTTATATAATCTGTAATGAGTAATGACCAATGTGTGAAAACGCACTTGTTAATTAATAATTACTAATTACTATACAATATACACAATCAAATGGATGTAGAACTCGGTACTTACATCGGTTAAAGGAGAACAGAGATCTATAATTTATATACATTATCTATTTTTTCAGTCCAGTGCAATATTATATAAAATACATTTCGGATTAAAAACCAATTAATTTATTATTCGCTGTTGGTTTGTGTAACCATAAATTGTAGGAATAGTATTTCACATATTTAGAAAATACTCTCATATATCTAACTAATATTATAGGAAAAATGTAACTTTTACTATTGATTTTATAATAAACTCGTAGTTCTATTGCTAATAGATACGTAAAGATATATTACACGGCCTTGGCCTGTAGGTCATAGTAGTTTTGTTGAAAATAGTAGTGTAATGAACTATGTAATAGATATATAGATATTAACTAAGTAAGATACCTATTATTAAACAACAATTGTACTTAATCTAATAAATTAATAAAATATATTTGACAATATGCAGTAACTTGTTTGTACGATGAGTAGGTACTTAATTATTTTATACTTATTTTTGTAAAATATTGATATATTATTTATCAATACTATTAAATTTGTTCTAATACAGGTAAATACTTGAATTTTGATAAATATATTAAAAATAAAATAAAATCTAGACCCCGGTTAAATTGGGTACTAATTTGTTAATTGTTTAGTTGTTAAAGTATCATATCCATTTATATATTTTCATTATGGTTTTTGAAGTAAAATTAATTTTGTCTGTTACTATATTATGATTCTAGGAAGGTTTACCTGTTCGTCTAAAGGGTATACATGTTCTGAATACACAGTCAATTGTTGACAAAATTATGATACTGGTCAAACCTTTCATGAAAAAGGAGCTGCTAAGTATGGTAAATATGAATAACAATTAGTTATTTTTAGTATGTACTTATATGTAAACTGAAATAAAATGTATTAATTGCATTTTCAGGCTTTTGTATCAGTATAAAAAACAAAAATGGTTTTGAATTACATGTATCATGCACACAAGTATACTTGAGTGTATCAAAATATATCTAGGTGTATTCTTGAACATACTGTTGTAAATTTAGTTTTTATTCATATATCTTTCTTATTTTAAGTCATATTTTTTTATTCATTTTTTTAAGCTGCATAATTTTAACTAGTTCACGATCTTCATATTGTCATAGTCTCTACTAGAATTATACAGTTTACCTACATATATTATACTATCAGGATGACTATTTACTTATTTTTCTTATTCAGTCTTATTTGATTTATTTGTTATATACTATTTGTTATAAGGTATAATTTTATTTCTATTGTTTTAAATAGTTAAGCAAACACAAGTATTTTTAACAGCTATTGTTCGTATATATGTTACCTACGCTCCCTCAAAATTTCACCTGACGCATAACGTAACTTTAAGCCAAACTTTCCAACGCTAAATTATTATAGTAAACATTACACCACAAATATATAGGTACTATTAGAGTCAAATGCGCCGAAAAACTCGAAAATAACCATTTAATATCAATAATATTTTTGAAAATAATACACCGCGGTGGTCTTAGTTGTTTTAAATTAAATCCAAATTTCAACTTATTATTTATTTAATAAAGTTATACCTGCGCTACATAATATAAGCGTTTTAGAGTATTATTTAATAGTATCCAGTGCGATCACTGGAAATTAGTTCCTAAACTTCTCATATTTATTATTGAAGTCACCAATTACATAAGATAAAACTACTCGTCTAATCCATGCATGCCACATCTTGTTTATATAGGTTAAATCGACAGTCGGTGACAAGATAATTTACCCAAGCCAATTTGTCACTTATCACACTATAAACGCTATTTATAAATGGAAAAATTATGTCCAATGAGATTTATTATAATATGTTGCTGTACAACCCAATAACTAAACTGAGTGATTAATGAGCTGAACTGGTCGAACTTAATATCGCACGAATAAGTAAAAAAACCTTCGACAATATCTCACTGATCGATAGGCGTATGCAGTCGTTTCAGGCAAAAATACTGAAATATTTATATCCAAATGATAATAGACCATTTAACATTATTATAACTTGGGTATTTTAATACGCTTGTGCATAAGTGAAGCTATAATAGGTATATTATGTTTCTTTATTAAATTTAAAAAAAACCGAATTAATTCGTTTAGATATACATTACACAGGAGCTATATGGTTTTGAAGTTAATTTTTATAAAATACATGTAAATTTATAGTCAAATAGGTATTATGTATTATTAAAATAATGTGCGTGGTGAATTATCTATCTAAATCTAAGTACTAAGTATATTATGACGATATTAAGTAGCTATATCTGTATAACAGTATGAACAACTAAACCCTTATGTTTTGCGAATCACTGTTGATCTAATCTACTATCTATGTATATATAATACTGTTTTAACGAGGGAATTTGATTAAATCGTTGTCGTCGGACGGCTTGGTTTCAGGTGCACTTTTACACGGAAAGAGACGAGGAGAAAATTTACGAAGCGGTGCCGAAAGAATGTCTACTTGAAGACTACGGCGGCCTGGCGCAATCCAGCGAGAAAATGCATGGTACGCATAATAATATACAACGTTACATATGCTTATACAATATAACATATAAAAAGTCTCGTTTACATTATAAATGACAACATTAAAATATTACGCAGCCGCGCGTATCCATCACACACGTACGCGTGCAAATAATATATACGTCCTCATCCAAAGTATAAAAAGCTATAGATAACAATATAATAGGTATACAAGAATGTGTGTCGTGCACGACTCATGTGTACGGTTGTGCATAATATTATACAGAGTGATTTCAATTTTCTTTTTCCATCGTTGCGACTCATGCGAAAGCCTATGGTACATGATATAATATAATAATATTATCATCATCCATCAACTTATAGTTTTTATTTATTTCCATAAAATTTTAGCGGAAAAAAGGGTATCATATTTACAATGTGTGCTGTAAAATATAAAAAAGAAAATATATATATATATTATAATATTAGTCTATATTATGTATTTCGTATTTATCGATATCTATACATAGAATTAGGCCACTTAGTTATATAGGTAAATAGGTAAGAGACCTTAGAGACTTCTTGAACTGACTGTGTATATGATGCACTTATGTTGTTAATATGTAGGCACCGGGTATATTGCAATAATATCATGTGTAGAGTTAGTTGATTACACGCACGACATACACGACAAAAAACTCACGCACACAAATGTAGTAATATTTTTGCATTCAAATGTAGTAATATTGTTTATGCAAAAAACATACATATTATTTTTTACGCAGTCATCCGGACTAACCTAATTATTATGATTACTACTACGAAAGCAACATATATGTATAAATAGGTTAGGTTACATACGTATTACACTTATGTAGGTACGCTCTGTTCTCAAGGTTCGCCGTGGTTGCATAATATTGATGTACAGGAATTTTGTGGTGGGGGTGATGGAAGAGTATTGTGTTTCTATAGGTATATAAAAATATAATTGTATGTTAAAATGTATTCATAGGCGTGTATAATATTATTATCACATAAATGTGGTAGGTCGGCGTTATCGTGATTAGGTACAATATATTATTATTATTTAAGGGCATAGCGTAGGAGTTAAATCGCGCATTTTGACTCGACCAGTAGACGTGTGCGATTTTAATTTAAGATCCTCTTTGATCTTTCCATTATCGCTGTCACTTTTAAAACATGTGAGATTTTTTTTTAATTTATACATATTAGATTGTCCATTGCTATACATGCCGCAAGTATTGTACACACATTAATGATTAAATTGCCGTCACGCGAATGAAAGAAACGCATAAATGTGTTTTTTATGTACTAATATATTATAAATCATAATAATTTATAGGACCGAAAGACACTCGTGACTTTTTTGTGTTTTTGGACGATTTTTTTCTGGTGTCCTACTTTGTTCAGCCTTCTTATTTATTCGCCAATCCATGTATACTCTGTCCAGCTAGAGAATACGCCGATTCTGCACATTTTCACTCAATATCATTCCATTGAGACTGGGAACAGCTTTTTTAAATTTAAAATGTGAAAACTGAACGATCTATACTAAGTACCTTCATAATGCATACAAAAAGTAAATTTTATGAGGCAAGGAAACGGGAGGCGCGAGTAAGCAAGTCGCCCAGTAGCGGCACTCTTAATAAGATTTTTAAGGAAAGAGTATTTAGGTTCTTACGCCAGTTTCTTTTCAGGCGTCTAATAAGGTTATGTGAAATTTATTTGGAGGCGAGGCTATTGACAATTTAATTTGAGCGTTAATTGAATTCTTTGTGAGTTTTTTTGTATTTAAAAGTGGCAAATGTAGTTAATGTTAGAATGTAAAGGTTTTTACGGAGCGAGTCATGTATAACGTATTCAAAGAGTTGATGTTATTTGTCTTAAAGACATATCGGTTAGAATGTCTGTATAGTTTTAGCATTTAGAGGCTTCGCAGGTGCTCATAGTTCTATACCATAATACCAGATGTGTCCTACAAGCGCCATTTATATCGTACGTTTTGTTTTCGAGGAGAGTTTTGAACGGTGTAGCGGTCTGAGTAGTTTAAGTCGTTGGTAAGTATTTGGAGCTAAGTGGGGGCCATTGGTGAGGATCTGATTGAAAATAAATCTTTAGTATTTTGTTTAACTAAAAATAGGGATTTGAGCGTTGTTAATGTAGGTTGGAGGATACTCGATTGGGTGTAGAGTAAAGGTGATCTAGATTGATTTGAAGAGTTTGACGGGGAACACTGTGTTACGTGAGGATGCGCAAAAGAACCGATTTTTGTCAGACCATGGCGTGTTTTTTCGCTGGACGCAGTATATAGGTACCTACTATAGTATGGGTATAATAATATTATTAAATTATACTCCTCTATACCATCTATACCATAACTTTCTGGCTCTAACTCGATAATATTTGTTACAAAAAAAAAAAAAAAAAAAATATAGGATAAAAGGTAAGATTAATTTTTTTTTCATTAGAATCCGGGGTTAGGGGTAGATATCAATTTATCAGACTGTCTAAATCGAAAACTTCCTTTTGCTTAATTTTTTCTACAGCCTATAATCGATGATAACCCACATAACTTATCGACAGCCGGAGATAAATAACATGTTGTAATTGGGTCATGAGAATTAATCGGAGATAATTAACAATTACTATTGTACCAATTTTAAAAATTAAACATACCCATAGTTATTTGAATAGGCTGTAATAGAAACTATACTAATTCAATTGTTAGGATACATACACATACGTGCAATATTTTTTTACCTTTATAAATTGGAAACCTCAGAAAAGCACTTCATATTAGTTATATGTATTTTAATAATATGGCTATCAACAACTCTCGGAAAATTTCTGAACTTGTGAATATGATATTTATTGAATAATTAAAAGTGACCTATAACTATATAATTCCGTACTAAAAGTTTATTAGTTATAAATATGATTTAAATTTCGATTACAGGAAAAATAGAGAACATATAAAATCGATTTTATGTGTTAAAATATTATTATTTTTTTTTTATATCGTTATTTGGTTTTAATCAATTCCACTACCTACTTAACATTTCAGCTAATATATCATAAAAAAAAAAAAAAAAAAAAAAATGAATAAATTGTAGTAATATTTTACAGAGCAATTTTCTTTTTAGAATTTAAAACTAATCAACAGGTTTCTGTATTTGTTAATCGAACGTTGATACCTATATTGTTATTTGTTTTTACACAACTAGGTTAATACTAATTATGAATATTTATTGAGATAAGAAGTTTAAAAAATATGGTTCATTAAGAAGAAAAATCATACTCCATAGCATATATGTAAAGCTTTTTTTATACATTTTATTTATAGTAAGTAAATTATTATGTTTCGTCATTATTATACATTAAATTATTACAATTAGGTAACAAATTAAAAATTTTAGGGGGGAAATTCCCTGTCTCACCCTCACCATAAGAACACCCATGCTTCGTAATAAGTATCTAACCTATGATAATATGTAAACGAATTCGGATTGTTTTTCTTTTTAATTTATTCAATAATAGAAAAAGATTTGATAAAAAACGATAATTGTTAATTAAATTTCGATTTTACAGCTCATTTTATCAAATGGATGAAAGTAATGAAGCCTTTGTTTGAAAACGACTATCAATACAAAGTCGACGAATCAAAGAGGCCAAAAAAGAGTAAGAAGTCCTTATCAACTTCATTTAAATCGTTGGAAATCGACTGATTAAAAATTACCATATTTTAATGTTGCTCTTATATATTAATAATTGAAAGACGAAAAGAATCACAATTTATTACATATTCACGGATCGGGTAAAAATAAAGTTACTTATTAGTATTTATTTAACTTCTTTTGTTAAAAAAAATACAAAACTATATTATTGCGGTAAAATGTAATATTTATATTTTTCATTATTATTATAAGTATAGGAAATTACGTAAAGCTAAATTATGTTTACACTTTACGACGACGCTGTACAGTGTACACAAACTGTACAAGTAGGTATATATATAAGTATTTAGATAATACTCTATAATATTAGATTATGTCGATATGTATATATAATTTATATGAAAATAAATATGTTTATTATAAAATAACAATGCATTATTTTGATAATTACATAAACATTTCCGTTGTTTGTGCCAATTCAATCGTCATCCGTCGATCAACCAGGTTGTTTGTAACCATTGTATATACCATCATACCGTCCATATCTATAGATATTCATCTTCGTGCAGGTTAATATTGCTCTATCTGCATAATACTTCATCCGTTACAACTCTACAAGTAACGTTATTATAATATATTACATTTATATATCCGAATATATCAATGTTATTGTAACTTAAATTCTAATAATACTTTCTGCATGGCTGCGTATTCACTATATATACTAATATATTAATAGTAGGCAACAGCTGTAAAGTTTTCAGAATGTGCAGCTCATGAACGACATGAACATATTATAAAGGTCCATACGTTACTTATATAAGTAGATATTAAATGTACATAATATATAATTAGTTTTTTTAGGTGGTAAGAATTTGGAGTGAAATATAGACCAGTTTTTTAAATCGTATTTTGGACACATAGGTGCACCTACATTATATGATTGGATTCTCATCGTTTTCATTTTTAAGAACAATTTTAAACACAGATATTAGGTACCACGATAAGGGGGCGATGATTTCCATTAGCTGCAAAAAATGTTTTTATAATTTCATTTGTTTATGAACATTTAGCTAGTTATGACATAAGGTACATTGTATAAATCTGTAATATATTTTTAAACAGCAATGTTTCTTCTATAAAGGGATTCATTGGTTCTAAATTTTTAACATTTTGAAACTATTAACTTGGGATAAGGGGGTTAACATCATAAAGGGTGGTGTTTAACATTTCCTGCAGGCTCCATGCACCTACCGAGTTACACTAATGATATTGAATTCAGTGACGTGCCCAGGGGAGGAGGATAGGGGGTTAAAATAAAATCCTCTCATCGGATCAAGAAAAAAAGATGGTGTTACTAATTTTTTTTATCTGAAGATCTTTTTTTTTTGCTTTGAACTCCCCCTCCCCATTTCAAAATTTTGGGCACGCTACTGGTATAGATATTGGATTTATTTTTATCAAGAATTAGTGAGTTTTTAACATTTTAAAGTTTATGTTATATGACAATGACATCCTTAGGTTTGTTAATAGGTTACTAGTACACCGTATACGCTAATATTATTATTACAAGATTTGTGAAAATGATTATTTAAGGTAAATTTTTGATTTCTATTAAATCATGTAAACGGCTTCAATAACTTTTCTAGTTTGCCATCAAATGATTAATGTACTCTCGTATTAAAAAATAATATGCGTAACTACTAACTCTACGACATAGTATAGTATGAACTGTGAAATCCGAGGATGCTACATATCTTTTTTAAGGTGTTTAATATAGGCAATTTGCATTACATTTTTCGAAAAATTAAAATATAAAATATATTACAATAATCGATAAACATTTTTGCTCAAACACTAATTAACCTATGCAGTTGATAATTTGACCATCCATTATATGCACTCAAACAATAATAGTTTCACAAACCTTAATTTATAAATTTGTTTAGCGGTTTATATGACTCGAGGTCATAATTTGACCCAATCAACACATCTGAAATTTTACTACTTTGTAAGTTCCAAGTCAGGGGTCACCAATTAAAATTTTTCATTGGCCATTAAAATCCTAAGTACCTACATATTTTTAACATGTAATAAGTATTATTTTAAAACTGTATGTAATGAGTACATTATATATCTAAAAATATAAATAAATGTTATATATTCTTCGTCTGCGGGTCGCCACTTGATAACTCTGTTATCTTAAAAAAATAAATTTTCATGAATTTAGTTACGAGTATAATTAATCCGTTTATGTAAATGTGAGATAATATGAGATTATGCAAAAAAATATTACGCACAAAAAAAAATCCCCAAGTAGTTATAATCAAAAAACTAAATTTGTATACAAGGAAACCAAAATATGTCGACGTAGAGGTACATTTAGGACAGGCCTGTTTATAAGAATAATTTATTTTATGTAGATACACTTTTTACTCTTTTTAGAGGATTTTTGATTTACTTTTTAAAACGTACTAGTACTAAAATAGTTAGTAATTAGTCATAATATTTATTAATAATTATTTAGTGAGTAAATCGAATTCTTTTATTTTTTTAGACAAAAACTCGTTAATAGTCGTAAACTTGCGCAACAATTTAACTCTCTTTTAACTGATACCAACAATAAATTAAGAACAAATGTAGTAGTTAAAGATATCCAAAAATATATCTTGATTCTTCTGACTGTCGAAAAACTTCTTACCACTGATGTCGAACTCACTGATAAGATCAGCGCGCATTCAATACAAATTTAATTTTCTCAAATATCTTTCCCGTACCATATATTTCTTTACCAAAATTCATATTTTTTTTTTCGCTAATCGAATTTGACTTACCGCTTAATTCAAGAAATATTCATCATCTTCATAATAACTTACAGATTATAAAAACAAAATTATCGTTTAAAAAATCAAAATTGTTGTTAAACCTTTTGTTAATTTCACTCAGTGTTATTATCTACTACTATAAAACGCATACCTCGCTTTTTTGGATTGTTTTAATACTCATGAAACCAACCAGTCGTTATAGTTATAACTTATGATGTACTATTAATATTCATACGTAGTTTTTATTATTTGACAAAGAAATATTTTAAATTGAAGCTATAATTTTAGATTTTGTATTAGTTACTAAAATTTTCATTTAAACGTAAATGTTTAAGTTCTGTCATAGTAGTATTAACTAATTTTAAACATTTAGATAATTATATCGAGGGTAAATGAATTTATGCGTATTTATTAAAAATATGTTGTCAGTTAATAAAATATTATCAAGAAATAATTATGCCAAAAGAATAAAATTGGTATTACAGACTTTTGGCTTCTTTCTTTTTTGAACTTTTTATTTATTCGTTACTTATAATATGGTTGTTGACTATACACGGATTCATTTTTTTCCTAGAAACACCTAGGGAGCACCAATTAATTTTATTTATACTTAGATAATTAGCCACAGCGCAAAACATGATCGATTTTTATTATACGGTTATGTGAGTATTAACTAACTAGGGATGCAGTATGTCCAAATATTCATATTAAGTGTTAATTAGGTTTAATATAAAAATTTTAAAATTTAAATTTTCGGTATATTTAAGGATTCAAAATTAGTGCGGGCTCGAGTATACCGGCTGGACACGCCTTTGATATTTTTGTGGCTTTAGTTTTTGTTATCAATAAGTATTTCAGTTGTTTTAATAGGTATAAAAAACATGGAAAAATGGATCCAAAAATATTAACTATTTTTGTATTAATGATAAAAATAAAAAATTAATATACAATAGTAAAATGGCACAAATCATATTATTACGTCTACATTTAATCCAGAGATATTTAAATGTGTTCAAATAAGCTATTTCAATGAAAACACGATTTATTTCTTTCAATCGAAGTTTTCACATTTATGTTTTAATATAGGAAGTAGATATTAATCGACCGCTTACTGTTGAGTAATATTCTATAAAACAATTTTTATATAAAATTGGAACATAAATGGGTAAAAAAAAAAAAACCAGTAAAAAAAATTGATTAGAGATTGCCACATCCGCATTTATTGTCTCCGTTATACAAATGTACATCAAACCAAATTTTCACTCAGTAGTACCAATTTTGTGTTTAGCTTAAATATTAGAGTGAAATGTTCAATTATCAGACTTAAAGGTAAGAATATTATCTGTATTCTCTCATCGTTTTTTTTAATTATTAAGTGAGTTATGTAAAATATTAAAATCTATAAATCCTTAAAATAGAAGTGTAGTAAAAAATCAAAAAAACACAGAGAATGTTCTTACCTATAAGTTTGATGTTAAGTAATTTCTTTCTAATGTTTAAGCCAAGCACATAAAATTGGTTCTACTATATTTATCATATAACACCTTTGTAAAACAGACAATACAAATGGGTGTGGTGTCTTAAATAGTTATTCTTGTACAGAATAAGTTTTTACCAATAATTTTGCACTCATAAAAGAGGTTGATTCAATCAGATTAGGGATCTAAGATAATGGATGTAATACTCAAAAGTTACTTAGCAAGCTATTCAAATTCTAATGAAATATGATTTTTTTTAGGGCAGTTGTCAAGTTGTTCATTATGTTGAAGTATCTAACTAGTTTTTAATATCTATTAACATAATCGATCTAAATAAATAAATTCTAACAAATTCGACGTAGAACTAAAATAGAATTTTAGATTTTATCATCATATACTATTTTTCATTATTAATGATAAAAATCTAATACATTAATTAATAACCATTATCATTTAGATAATTGTTATTATTATTTGAAGGAATAATACAATTAAAACGGAATAATATTATGTAAAATTAGTTAAAATAATTGATTTATAATATCCTAAAATGTAATCATTACAATTAATAATATTAATAAAAATAAAAATTTGTTAAAAAATTGTCCAAGAGGACCCTACGTATATATATATATATATAAAAACATGAAATTCGTATTTATAAATTCTTATAATAGATGAACATTGAAATATAGGTTAGTACTATATACACAATACAAATTTATAAAATGGAGTTTTAACCTCGGATAATAATATAAGAAGTGTCATAATAAGACATGATTACTATAATATAAATTAATTTCAATATGCAACTGTACATTTAGGCATTTACTTGTTTTTAAAAATATATAAACTTTTATTTTATAAAATATCATTATAATTAAGTTTTTATTTACATTAAACAAGTATAACCCAACATAGTATTTGGGAACAATCATTAAATTAGGTTAAGCGTTACTTAAACAGTTGATGAATGCAACAACATTACATTGTACTTAACTGAAATTTAAGCTAAAATTATTTGAAGATTACACTTTAAAAATGAAAAGTAAACACGAATTTGTAAAAAATAAGAGCATACTTTTTTTGTAAAAAAGTATACTATTTATTTTTACTATTTAATTTTAAACACATAATCAGATTCATGAATTTCACAAAGTATTTTCTATTTGTTCAAGTTAATATCCTAATATAATATTTTATTGTACTAAGTACGGTTTTTAGGATATAAATATTTAAAAGATAGTATATCATATTTTATTAGATGTTTTGAAAAAAAAAACTTACATTTATAAATCACATTATATAAAATGTTGTCGATTGCTCTAAATTTTGATACCTGAAACAAGATTAATTATTATTTAATTTAAAATTATTAGAGTGTTATACAAACATGATTAAAATGTTAAGACCTTGATATTCAAAAATAAATTATTTTCTGTAAATTTTATTGTTTATTTTAAATAACAATACTTACTCAGTATTTTAATTTTAGTATCAATTAAAATAGTTCATACTATTGCAAACAAATTTTCAAGCTAATTTTTATGTTTAGTTCTTGATAGTCACGTAACAAGTACTGCATTAGTTAATAGTAATGACCAATAATTTAAATAATTAAACTGTTGAATTTAATTTTTTCAACTAATACTGCAATAATTTCAAGTTGTGCATGATTAAATGCCTTCAACTTATATATGTACAGGTACATTAAATTAATTATAATCATAAATACCTATATTATGAACTTTAATTATTGTATATTTATTAATATTCATAAAATAACAATTATAAGCTAAGGTCAAATTGACTTTTATTAGAAAAATAATGTATAAATTTGTATGTTTAAAAAATAATTTATTACCTACATAATATATAATATAGTTTAGTGTTAAGTACAGAAAATTAAGTTGGGAATTTAAATACATAGTAATAAAAAGATTGTAAATTTGTACGAATAATTGGATATTTGATTTCACTTTATCCATGAGTATAGGAAATACAAATAATACTCTTTCACTATTGTCTAATTAAATAATTGTTAATAAGTAAGTCTTTAATGTTTTTTTTTTAAGTTCAAATGATTTTAATATATTGATGACAAACACAATGTAAATAAATATACACATTATGAGGTAAAATGAACAATATTGTTTACCCTGGCATCAATAATTGATTTATACGTTGGTAACATGTGTATAGAGCAACTGGCAAATTTGTTATTAGATATCCTCTTGACTCTTACGCACGCAACGTGCAACCTTGCGTTTGAATTCTGGATAATTGTCACGCCAATCTTTAGCTGCATCTACATTAGCTGGACTTTCATCATTTGGATCAGCTAACATTGAAATAACTGATATCAATATAGTTTCAACAGTATGCACTGGTAGCCAACGTTCACTTGCTTTTTCATAACCCCACTTATCATCACCGGGTTCATGAAGTATTGATATACAAACATCACCACTTTTATCAACTAAAAATGAAAAATAAACATGTAAAAATATATTTTTCAAATTAAATAATTAAGAGATAATTTAAATTTTTAATTGATGTGTTTTTGAGTAATATCTGACAACAAATTTTTATAAAACATCTAAGAGACAAAATTAATAAAAATATTAAAATAAGAAAAAAAGAGATTGTAACAGTTTATTACAATGTTAATTGGCATTAGCTGATTTTAGGAACATCTTTTATTCATACAAATACCAAAATATCATCAATAATAAGATGACAATAATTAATGAATTAGTAATGCAGTATATAACAATAATACTTAAATATATAGAAAATAATAAATAACTGTTAATAAATTATAGACAATTCTATTTTTACTTATTTTAAAACCTGAAATAAAACAGTCTTGGAGAGTTAAAAAATAGAAATTTAAGTATTAATGATCTTAAGTTTAAGTTTTCAAGCAGTTTAAACCACCAATTTAATTATAGAACATTTAATTTATAACTTTTTTTGTACCAAAAAATATATGTATAGAAATAATAAAATTATTTATTTAATAATACAATCTAAGCACATAGTTTATATATATATATATAATAAATTATTAGATGATTTGGTTCTTGGAATATAGCATTTCATTAATTTAATACTTTGAAATAGATACATTAATTCTATGCCATTATTTATGAAATTATATAAATTGTATATACTGAGCGAAACAAAAAATAAATTAATGGTACATAAATATCTACCAGTGTTAAAATCTTATCAGGTAGGTATTTATTTGTTATTTTCTCACCAATGATCTGTATACAATTTTTCACCCGTCCCCAGTCTTTAATCTAAAACTTCAATATTAATGATCAGTATCTCTATGATGTCCTACAAGAAGTTAGTTTAAAATGGAATTTATTTGTAAAAAAATAATGAATACTTCTTATATTTGTTTAAATTTAAATCATGTTAGCTTGTAGCTAAATTGTAAATGTTACTTGCATCATATAAATATTATTAAATTATTTTAAAAATTTTGAATATTAATTTATATAAGTTATTACCTTAATATTTAAAACAAAATAACTAAAATGTATGACATTTAAGGATTATTAGAAAATTAGCCAATTTTATCATGTGTAATTAAAAGATATTCATTATGAATTAAATTGTTGGTATTTTAATATTATTTCCTTGTATTTCTAAGTTGTGTAATGATCTACAGGGTTCGGCAGTGAAACGGGATGATTTAAGGATGGGAATAAAAGGTTGTTTCACGATGGTGGGTGCTTCGTATTCTGACCATCGTTAAAATCACGGTCTACCATTTAGAAACATTGGATCGTTGGTCGTGTGAACACGGCTTTGCTGTTAAAGGATATTTTTAAAATACTGCATCACTAGTCTCTTTCATCAGATAATGTAATTTGAACATGGGTAAATAACCTCAAGTAAACTGGATCGGCGACTAAAAATAGAGGTGGGAGTTCAAGAACAGTTCAAACTCCTGAAAATATTGATCGTGTTTGACAGATGATACAATAAAAAGTCCACGCCGATCAGCCTTACGTCAAACGTAGTACATGAAAAATAGTATTTTTTGTATTAATTATCAAATAACTTTTATACTATATATTTATTAAAATAAAAATAAATGCATTCTTTAAATAATAATTAAACATCAAAATCATCTCATTTCACTGCCCTGTATAAAAAATATAATATAAAAGATTGTCAAACCAGAAACAGAATGATACATTTTATAAAGTGAGGTAGTTATGCAACAATAAATACCTTTGATTTAATACTTATAAAAAGCCATTTAATGATTTCTTATTAATTAATTGAATAATTTTTTAAATAAATAAAAATCAAATTTAAAGTTTAAACACCAGTGTAAGATAACTATGAAGCTGTGAGGAAATAGTTTTTTTTTTTTTGAAAAAAAAAAGAAAAGAAATCTCAGTTAAGACATACCAATATTCAGCATAAAATATAAATAAGGAGGTGCTATTTTTAAAATTTGTAACATATATATATATATATACTTGCATTTAATATTTTTAACAACTAATAGTTATAACCAGGGCTCAAAAGTTGTAGCAAATGCATGTTTTTCTAGGTCCGTTCTAGAACATCTTAAGTAAGATAAAAATATGATTATTAACTCTTCTCTGATGTCATACACAAAATTTTATTTTGCTATTTTTTGCATATTTATGGTTTTTATTGCTATTTTGATAATTTAGTGTTTTTTAGTACTATTTTTGAGTATATTTTCACATAATATATGAAATATTCACATTTTGTTGAAAACAATGATTTTTTTGGTTACATTTTAAAAAATATTTGAATTCTTGGAATTTTTTTTACCATTTAACTGTAAATTATGAAATTGTAAAATTATACTTAAATTTTTTGAGCTATTTAAAGCACATATTTTGGAGTTTTTAATGGCATATTCAAAAACTAAAAAGAAACATTTTCAATGCAACAACTTTTGAGCCCTGGTTATAACTTATCAGTTAGGATTTAAATAATATGTAGATTTATATATATCTATTAATTTTTTTCTATTTAGTATAATAGAATAAAAAGTAAAATCACATTTTTAAATGATTAAAATACTTACTATTAGGATGCCAAATTTCAGTTACAAATTTCATTTTTGGTGGCCTTAATGGATATTCTTTTGGAAAATTAAGATGAGCCTTGAAAAATCCTCCTTCACTGTAACATATTTAAGCTGGATTAATCCTATGATCATTGATAAGGCTATAATGCCTACCAAGGTTGAGATTAAATGATTTATTAATTAGTTCATTTTCAAAAAATAAAAATTAACCAAAATAGGTATCATATTGAAAAAGAGGGCATTTCCTGAATAAATCTTATAAGATTAGCCAAAGCATTTAGAACCAATTTTAAAATTAAAAATAAGATACTGTATCTTATTTCTAAAAAGTAATAATAACTAATTTATTTAAATCATTTATCAATTGCAAAAAAAAAAACAAAGCACAAAAAAATAATAAATGAAATAATTGATAATTTAGCAGAAAGTATAACAATCAGGCCAAACAAATATTAAATACAGTAATAAATACCAGTGATCAATAACGACTAGGTAGTCAAGATTACTAATAGTAGTGATACTTATTTTCTAATAAATAAAATAAAATACATAACATATAAGTTGGATACCATTCATAGATACTTACTACAAGGTGTCAGGAGGTCCAATGATGAGCACTTCCCATTTGTAAATATCATTATCGTCTATGAGACCAGCAGAGAACCCTTCTACTGGGTTCTTGTGCAATTCTAAACAAACAAAATATCATTAATGTACACAGCCAATCAACTGATTTAACTGTAAATCGATGTCAATTTTCAAGTAATAAGTTGTGGTTATTGTTCAATTTTTCCTCACTCTGCGAAAAATGACTACGGAGAAAATTTAAAAAAAATTAAAGGAGGAAAAACCGAAATAAGTATTAATTAGGACATAATATATGTAGACCAGACGGAATCAAGACACGTGAAAGTGTTTATGGTGTCCGTCGGGATCATATGTATACTACAACGGCCATGAACATCAAAAAGTTTCGATTGTGACATCGGAGAACAAAAACGGACGGATCGCTGCGATAGATACTTACCAGTCAGTTGTTTCTTTAGTAATAGCGCCGACTGTAGTTCTGACATTAAAATTGATTTCGTCACCCAAAAGTGGTGTAGATTAAAAAATTTTTATACTATTGGAGGGATGGACGCCGAGCGCTGGAATACTCAAGAGCTTGAGTGCTAAGCGTTTAGTAATTGTGCGGGATACCCGTGTTCCAGCGAATAGAAAATAAAGGAATACAGAAGAAAGAATAATAATAATAATAATAAAAACTGTAATATGTATCAAATAGCAGCACGGGCACACGGCAGTGCGGCTTATTGGAAATAAATTATCGGAACGGGTCGACGGCCGTAGTGCGTCTGCGCCACTGTTGGTGCGGCAGTATGACCACGGGTGCGGTACTAAGCGGATACGTTTTCTCGACCGTTACGCTGTAGCCATGACTGGTTTGCCAACCGCGGGAACATCCCTCTCACGGGCCATGTCGATCACTCGACTCACTATTAAGTATTAAGTAGTTGCTCGGAAATGACGGAAACCTATTATCGATTGATGATGGTTATACTGCAATGGTTTATGATTTTAGAAAAGTTTAATTTTAACGTTTTTGACCATTATCAAAAAATGAGTTATCCGTGAAACTACGAGATGTGACCACTATTAGTTAAAATTTATAACTTAGAACTAGTTAATAGTCATTAAGTCTAATAGTTAGGGATGGGGCCTAGAATCCCTTTGGAACTGCCGACTGTGATTTTCGGCCATAATGCTGAAGAGAGCTTGTCGTCATTACTTAAATTATTATTAATTTATTTGAGCTATTTTTTTGAAAGTAACTCATTGTGAATTAATAATCATGCTGGAAGACTAGGTATGTCGTATGTGTGTTATTTTTTTAGTTGGTAATATCTATATTTTTGCCAAAACATAAAAGTGAAATAAAATTATGTTTAATTTGAATTTTTGATTTGTCAATATTGAATGAAGAATGTTTTCATATTCTATATTCTATTTGATTTTATGCACTAATATTAGAACTTTAAATCGATGTTATAAGATTAACAATATAACATATTATATTATAAAAGTTCTTATCTAAATTCTAAATTATTGTTATAAATTTATAAACGTGTTAGGTAATTATTTTAATAATTAGCAGGGCTCGGCAGTTCATGCATTTGCATATCAATCTTGCTAAGTTGTTTTTATTGCTAGAAGATAGGTAATATAGAAATCCATTTCAAGGTATCATGGTTATATATTATGTAAAGTTTTATTTTGCTTGTTTTTGCATATTTAGAGGTTTTTACCTAATTGGCATGTTTATGCGTTTTGCTATTTTATCGGGCATTTTATTCAAAATTTTGATATTCCTATCATATTATGATGAAAAAAAAAAAAATACGATCTTTTATATATAGGAATTTGGTTGCAACATAAAAATATTAAAAATAAAATGCTAGTAGTAATCTTCATTTGGTTTATCAGAGTTTTGAGTACATATTAAACAATTTAATGAAAAAGATGTATAGAATTTAAAATATAAATTATCTTATCTACTTGATATTTGTTGATTGTAATTGTTTCAGTTATTGTAATAAATGTGTAACGTGTGTGCATATATGTTGATTCTTTTCGTTTCATTAAAACCTTTTATATTATATTTCAATAGGTAACTTTGTTTTTGTATCATGCCAAAAGAAAAACCACCTTCGGTCTATTTTTTTTGCGCATATTTTAAATTCATAATTTTACATTTTAGTGCATATAAATGCATACATTTGAACTTTTTGAGGCATATTTTGTCATTTTTTAGTGCATAAGTGCATGCTTATTCAGGTTTTTTATTAAGGCATGAACTTCCAAGCCCTGATAATTAGTAACAACTAACAAGTAGGTAATAAAAAATATATGCTGACTGCTGAGTAGATAACCATGGCTTGAAGTTGAAAATTGATGTAAATGTTATGGTTGAAAAAGCAGCCGCAGAGCTTCTTTAATTTTTTTTTAACTGTTTTTTTAGTCCACGAATTTTATCTAATCATTTACCATTATTATTCATGAACTCTTATCATTTTGGTTACTTTATCACCAATTTTCAAAATAGTAAATACCATCATTTTTATTTATGTTTTCTTAATAATTGTTCTGTAGTTACTAGTTTGAATTTTTCATTTATATTATTTAATTTCTTCTTTTGTTTTTATATATATTTGGTTATGTATTTCACTATTCTTACTTGTACGTTTTATATTTTATAAGAAGGAATAAATCGAAAAGTATGTGATATTTAACAATTTTCTATATTATTCAAAAAAATCAGTGTATGTAGGTTATATTTATACTACTTTTGCCTTTTTAAAACTACCTGTTTATTATAAAATTAAAATTAAATATTTTTTAATAACTTACCTTGAAAGTTGTTATTATGGCAATCAATGATTTTACAATTGCTGTGGTTTGTTCAAGCAACATGAATCGAAGTATGGAAGCACATGCTTTTTTAAGGTAGATAATGAAGTTCTTTTATTTTCTTTATGGATATTCTATTTATTATTTGCTTCAGTTACAAATTGTAAATATTTCTTAAAATGTTTTTTATAATTTTAAAGTGATCATAATATTTATTTTATTCTCATCAGTTGGTAATTTCAACACTAACATTTTTTAAATTTAAATTTTCATCACCAATTAAAAAAAAATGTTTTTGAATGAAACATTTATTTTATTTAACTATAAAATCCTAGTTTAGGAATCTTTACTTTACCATAGTTTTTAATATACCTAACTCATAAGGTTAAAATATACAAAATTGTATTTGACTGGCTTAGCACTATATTTAAAATCTTGTGTGCTAATGGTATTATCAAAACTTACTTTGCATATTTATTTTATCAATGTATGATATATTTTAATCAATTTTTGTTTCTGATTATAGTAAAAAAGGTTTTAATGTTCGATCATTTGGAACAGGCGACAAAGTGAAGTTACCCGGAACAGCACCAGACAAGCCAAATATTTACGATTTTGGATGTTCTTATGATGAAATTTATAGAGATCTGTATAACAAAGATAAAACATTGTATCCTTTAACATAAAAAATTTAATAGTTTTATAATTTTTATTATTTTGTAAAATTAACTTACTTGGCTATAGTTTGATATAGTGCAGACATTAACCATTTTTGTTTGTGTATTATCAATTTATATTTAGTGATTTAAATTAACAATTTGAAACATATAATTGAATTTATTTCAGTAGATAATATTAAGTAAATAATGAAAGAACGTTATTTAATTTTGGACAAATTTATACTAAGAATATGTTGAACTGAAATTTTCTGGAAATTCAAATTTGACCCAGTGATGAAGTTTTAAACCTTATTATTAATTAATATTATAACTTTTTTTAACTATAATTACAGTTAATCTGTTATATCTATATAATTTAAAGAAATCAAAATGAATTACTCTGTCTTATAGTATATTTTTATACAGTAAATATTTATAACATTGAATGAAAATATAGTTAAAATTGTTTATAAACTGATTTTTCTTAAGTTTATTGAAAATATCTATATAATATTATAAAATGGCCAAGTAATATACATAACTTAATTACAATTAAGTTTTAAAGTCAGAGTAAAATTTAAATTTTTAGCCATTAGACTAGATTTTTTCTTAACTTTATTAAATATATTTTAATAAATTTTATTTTATTCTGTTAATTTACGAAGAGAATTGTACAGGAGTTAATTTTAACAACATTTTAACAATTGATATCTATTGATCTTCAGTTGTGTTTAATTCTTCAATAATTAATGTTTTATTTATTGTAATACATACAAATAATAATAGTTTTTATTACACGACTTACACACATTTTTAATATAAGTATATACATTTATATCTATCTAATTTTGATATTATTTATTAAAACATTATGGATTTTTTAACAAATTCTTTATTGTTGTAGTTATTATTTTCTTAACACAGTTTTATATTTAGTTATACACAAAATGGTTTGTTAAATATGTTAGATAGAAATCGGCGGATAAAGCAACATCCAGAAAGATTTCAACAAAGTAATGAACAATTTACTGTAGTTATTACATGTGAAGAGAGAGTATATGATCAAGTACTTGAATGTATGTTAAATTAAAAATATTATCATTACTATAAAAATTATAATCAAAATTATATTTATTTTATATGTTAAGATTTTGAAACAATTCAAAGTTTTGGCAATAAGCCAGTTCATGTAATCAACATTAACATTCAAGACAATCATGAAGAAGCAACAATTGGAGCATTTCTAATTTGTGAATTTGTTACTTTGGTAAGATAACATTATTAATATTTATTAAATATTAATGTAAATTTATTTATATTTTAGTTGTCCAGAAGTGAAGATCTTGACAATGATATTGATCAATTAGTTGTTAAATATGAAGAAAAATGTCAAAGGTCACTACTCAACTGTGTACTATTCTATTAAATATTAAGGGATTAAATAAAAATTTAAGTTAAATACTGTGATTAAATATTATTAATTTTTTACCTATCTGGTGGCAATATTTGAAACAATAGTTTATTATGTCGTTTTGTTCAATAACAATTTGTATCATTAATTATAATATAATATATTATTTTATTTCATTATTAAAGCAATAACTCTCAGCCAAGTTTATTAATATTAGTTTTGGAGCGGAGTGATAAAAAGATGTATTGGTATTACAAAGATGTGTGTATTTGTAATTTGCTTTAATATAAGCTCCCACAAAAGTGGCTTTTATTATCTGTTAAAAAAAAAACATGGGCACACGTTTTCTGAATTCATAAATATTTTTATTTTATATCAAAAGTTTTTAAAACGTAATACAATATAGATTCCTCATAAGTAATTTATGCAGAAATTATAAAATCTAAAAAATATTGAAAGATAATTATTTTATTATAGGCATTTTAAATTTGAATTTGGACAAAATAACTTATTTCAGCAATGAATAACAGTACTAATTATTTTGTTATAATTTAAAAACATAAGTTGTAAGAACTTAAAAATTGATTGCATATTATATTAGTATGAATTTTACTATACGCAATGGAATTTTTAATTTATTTTAAGATGCTATTAAATTTAAAGTTATGTAAGTTTATAAAGTATGGTATATATTGTTATAACAATTTAATATTAATAATAAAATAAATATAATATTTTTGGGAAAAATTATATTAACCTACTGTAATATTAAAAATAAAATAATTGACTAATAGCTGTATCAAAAAAAAAAAAAACATATCATGAAATATATTTGGTGATATAGGCTGAAAAACCTTTTCAGAATTGTTTTTCGTGTACAATGATAAATCATTGAATTCATATTTAACACATCCATATCAGTAATTCACTTACCCATTTTTTTTTTTTTTTTTTTTATTAATGTCAAAAATTTATTTTTGAGTAAAAATACTTGAGAATTTAAAATAATGTTTCTCATAATTTGTTCTTAACATCTCAATTAAAAAATACAGTTTACAGAATATTCATGGTCACAATTGTTTAATTAAATTAGATTTTTAAATCATTTATATACCTCCCAAAACAAGCTCTATGCTTAAAGGGGAGTTACAAATATGTTACTTGTATATTTTAATTATAAGTATGAAATTGTTTATTATTTGCAAAATAAAATTGATTATTGTTATTATTTAAATTTAAGTAGGTAGCCTCATGTCTGGATTGCGGTGGTAGATATAGACTTAAAAGTGTATTAAAAATAAACTGAAAGCTAATTATCAATCAATATAGAATAATAAATTTTCGTAAGTAAATCTAACAGTAGATTATTATTTATTCTAAAAAACGAAACAAAATAAAATGTAACAATAATAATAATCTAAAAGACGTAGGTATTGACTTTTAAGTTATTTACACATTTAAATAAAATAAACTGCCTTAATAATTTGAAAACCTTTGCCCCTTTAAATTTTATATCTACGACGTGACATGAATCCATGACAAGTGATAGTCTATGCTAGAGGGCCTATATAAGAAATGCTTTTATAAAAGCCTCATTAGTTCGTGCTGTTGACGAAGATTTATGATTATTGGTTACTTAATACTTATGCGAACGATAATAGAAGCTTGGCAGTGCCATATACCTAGTGTTTCAAAGCATTTCGAGCAATAAAAAGAAAAAGAATAAAAACAAATCTTAAAAAAAATAAATATAAATCACTGTTTTATAACTATAACCAATAAGAGTTAAAGAGTCCTACACAATGTACTTAATTATTGTGTGAACTATGAGCCGTTAACTTAAGTTTTTTAGGCTAGATATGGCTGATAAGACAATTAACACATTAAACAAATAGTACCTAATCGATAATAATTTCAAAATTACCAATGAATCAATTAGGTTATATATTATTTATATTACATTGTAAGTCAATAGAAGGAGCTTTTAGGGATAAAAAAGTTAATAATCGTGTAATTTTTGATTTATTTCAAGAGCCAGCTGTTAAAATTTTGCTTCCTTTGAAATAACACGAATTTGCGAACATGCTATTATAAGTAGGTACCTAAGTACTTACCTATACTTAAATTTTGAATTAATTAAAAAAAATATCAAACCAGAGGCAAATAAATCATGTATTTACATTAATGAACACGTTTTTGTATCGTGTTTTTTTTAGGTATTCACCGACACCGTGGAACAATATTTGTACACATTAAGTTTGTTGGGATCGACAACGAAAAACCCACCGGTATTGGCTTGACTCAAATGTTGAAGGTGGGTGGGTATACATACACATGTGAAAAGTTCCACATGCGATGTATAGTTTGATGACGTACTGGTGACTACTATTAAACATGTAAGTAGGTATAGTCGTTTTTTTTGTTTTGCTGAAATTATACGCTACCCATGTTACAAAAGTATAGTACCTATCAATTATCATCCATGTTCCATTTAAATATTCCGTGGAAAACGATATATTTAAATGCGGGGTTTTTACGGTAGCTAGTAAAAAATTGCCTAATTGAATGGCATAAGTTTTAAAAATTCGATAATTTCAAAAATAATTTTCATACAATTTAGTTTTTTTTAATTTTCAAGATAGTAATTTTTTTTTATAATTTTTAAAACAGTTGAAATATTAAAGTTGAACTAAAATCTCGTACCTATGTATGGCTGTATATTATTATAGTTAACGTATGGTTTTAGAAATAATGGGTTATTTCTTTGATTTTCTAATTTATAATCGTCGAATGTCACAGTTTGTCTTACAATTTTTTTCATTGCATTTCTAAATTGTTTGTCTATCTAATTTTCGATCTATTGAACATTATATTATCATGTCAACGTCAACGCAAAATGTTTGAAGCTATCGTCTTTTCCTTTAATTATATAGATACTATGTAATATACCAGTTTACGTATACTGCATAAATTACTATAGTGGTTATTATTAAATTGATTGGAAATCAGAAATGAATAGAGGTTTGGCTTTAACGATGGAAAAGCCGTTTTCTAGGAAATTGAAGAAAGCTTTCACCAATTTTGTTCATTAAATATTATTTATTAATTTAATATTAATTATATTATGCGTAAAATAATGAAAATTTTACTCAGAATTGGTATTTGAATATTGACGAGCGATAAATATACCGCGAACATAAATTGAAAACAGTGGCGTAGCCAGGATTTTTTTTCAGGGGAAGAGGGGCTGATCAATTTTTACACATCGGTGGTTTACCAGTTACCCATAAAAAAAAAATACATAATATAATATTATATCCTGAGCCAAGTCGAGCGAAGTGACGCGACACTTAACTGCAGTTTTATATTGTGAGTGAAGTGAGAAATGTATCATTTTATATTATTGGATTGTATTTACAATATTAATATAATTGTAGGTATATTTATTGCTTTTTCTGTCAAAATTTCTTTCCAAACATGCTATAAATATCGTTTCATAAAACATATTTGGTTAGGAAATTGGAGTCAATATAAAAGCTTTACACATTTTCTAATTGTTAAATTTATAAATGATAAAAATAAAAGTTAATAATGATTCGTCTGTTATACCACGCAAACAAAAAATATTACTTATAATTATAGTACGTCATGTAAAGTATTACCTTAAGAATGTTTATAAATTTAGAATTAATAGTAGTAATAAATCAAACCTGAGAATAACCCTCAGGAACAATATTATAGAAGCCTATATTATATACCTACTTAGTTGGAGATTGTGTGAGCATAGTTTTCGAAAAGCTCTTAGTTGTTTATAATATTAAAGGAGTATACGAGTATAGGTATGTTATATGTATAATATAAATAAATAAATATACAGCCATATTAATGTTTCTGTTTTCGTTGTTTTCGTTGTAATTATGAACGGTTTTCTTTATTAGTTTTGGGTTTCCATTATTACCACAGCCGCAGGAGATTGCTTTATTAAAATATAATTTTACCTTTAAATTGTTAATCTCTAGGTAGATACGTATATCGGTGTGCTGCAACTGTGGTATAAACCAAAATCAAGTTAAACGCAATATACATTTATTGTACTGCATTTCAATGTTTAAATACGTGATTTTTCATAGGTATAAGATTTGAAGATTGTATTGATCGTGTACGATGAATCGCAAACACCATAATATTAGTGCGGTACTAGGCAATTTGCGATAAGCAATTATCAAGACGAACGATTGCAAATAAACCACAATATTAAATCGTACTACTGTGTTTGTATGTCTCGACTCTAGACCATTTGTATGACGGATACGAGTACATAAAGAACCTTGATTTAATATGTTCACATTATAAAGCTTTTGCTATTATCATTAGACGCTGAACGAATGACCGCTAATAATATAAAACTTTTTTTTTTAAATAAAACGTAGCTCTAGAATATTGAATGATTTTCAACTAGAGTTTATAATATAATTTTTTTTTTTTAATCTAAGTTAATACATTTTGTACGTATCTAACAATGCTTTTACTAATTATTTAATGGGTTTTAATAAACATTTAGCATATGATGTTTCGTATACACAATTATGGTTCTCATTTTATTTTTCATAACTACATTATGTTAATTAATAATTGATAATAATAATAATAATAATAATAATAATAATAATAATAATAATAATAATAACAATAGGTAGTAATAATTTATTTTATATTTAAAATTCATTATTATTAACACAAATTATTATGTTGGTTATTCATAAGCCACAGATAACAATAGGTTTGATATAAACGTAATCATGATTTTATACACAAATTAAAAGTATTTATTTATTTGTTTTACAAATATAAACGTGTACATAAAATAGTCTTAATGCTAAAATTAATTGTTCAATAAATGTAAACATTATCTATATGTCTTAAACTTATAGTTGAGTATAAAAGAAAATATTTCTAGGAACTTAATTGCATAGAAATTAATAACGGTTCTAAAATAAATCCTAAAGAAAATACAAATTTGAATCGAACAGGATCTTTGAGCTTCAACGAATAGTCTTTTCTCTTTATGTACAATATTTATTTACCAAAAATCGATTAGATTGAGTTCAGTGGTTAGCTTCGTAGAACAAAAGGTCCTTTCTGGATGGTGATTATAATTTATATGCTACATAATTAAAAATTGTTATAATAGATAGTGGAAAAGACAGTTGAAATAGATACACTTACTGTGTTCGCACAATGGACCGAAGTGTTGCGGACCACAATGACATAAAAATCTAGAAAGAACTGGAAAACACGTGCCGCCGTTTAGACATGGCGCGTAACCACAAGGAGCACCTCGATAGGGAACCACCTCTTGATTAAGACCAGAAGATAGGTTACACGCTTTTTCGTTGAGTATTACCCTCTGGATGATACCATTGAAAGGTTTGTTGGTGATCGACTCTTGGTTCAACACAATGGTTGGACTGAAAAATACACCAAAATTAATTGCCAATCCTACCTATTGTATTAAAATGTTACCTCTTCCCATATAATATGGTATATACAATATCTTATAATATATAGTGTAAGTATTTTTAAAAACTTATAGTTAACGTTTGTCAGACTTACGGTACACCGCCGATGTATAACGGTAGTTCCAAGTTCAACTCGACAAGCGGGGAACTGGAGCTGATAGTGGTAACGTTGCCATTATTCAGCTGAATGGAGGCTTGGTTGTCAAATCTTTTGATTTTTAGTAAATTCCATTGAGGTAGAAAAACAATCTTCTCATCGGTTCTAAAAATGAACGTTGTCGTTGTTAAATAATTGTAGGTAATTTACCAGTGAAGCCCAGATAATATTTGTTCAGTGGACTCAAAAATTATTTTAACCTTATCCATCCTTTATTGAGTTTTAATACTCGGATATTCTTAATAATAAAATTTACATTTTTATGTAGGAAAATCTTAGTAGGTGAATTAGCGCACACTACTCACTCATTTAACTACGAATAGGTTTTATTGTCGTAACATAAAGCAGTACTAAGTCTTACGTGATGTTCGTCTTTCCGTTGCCCAAATCGTAAATTAGTTTCACCCGACCGTCAGACAAGTAAACAGAAATGAAATCTCCTTGTCCTGTGTACGATTGACCACTGTACAGTAACAAGCCACTGTCGGATTTCGTTCCAAACCAAAGTTCTAGGCGAGTGGTCCTACGGAGGTCTTCGGTCAGTGGTATGGTGAGAAATGAGTTCTTACCATTGAATTCCGGTGAAAAGTATTTAGTCAGACCGTACTCGACTATGAAATCAAACAATTATTGTATCAAATGTCAATAGAAATAGTGATTTTTAATAAACGTTTAGTGATATATATATATATATAATAAAAATGTTTACATTTATCACAGTTTGCGCCGGTCAATCCAGGCAGACAAAAACAAGCGTATCGACCGCCCGGCAAAGACTCGCAAGTAGATCCGAAGCTGCAAGGCTCTGAAGAACAGGCCATGTCGTCATAGCACGAATTGCCTATAAACATTGGTATGATAATAATAACTCAAACGAAATAGTTCTTTTAGTAATGATTTTAGTGTCTTATAAATATTTTTTCAATTAATTATTTTTAATGGATATGCAATTTTTACCTGTACAAGCACATGTGCCATTTGAACAACTCTTTTGACATTCTGTTACACCTTCAGAATTAGTTACCAAATCACTGTCTTCGAAACCTAGTAAGTTCACAGAGTAACGTCCTATTTTCATACTATGCACACATCCGATCAGTCCTGATTTCACTCCAATGTTTTCGAATATCCTGTGGGAAATACAATATTTGATCATTTTTGTGTTGATTTATTTCTGTAGTTCCTCGCGAGTGCTGCCGATTAGTTTTATTTGTAATATATGTATTATGTGTATTACTTTTGATGTACGATTGGTACGTATCCTATGTACGCGTTATCGTTTAAGTCCAGCGATCTCAATGAACCCATGGACACTGATCGAACCGGCTCGAAGTTTTCGAACTGCAACAGACCGTCTTTTTGATATCGTTTGGCTATGATCTTATGCCGATTGCCAATCGTAATCGGGTGTACAGATGTCAAAACTACGGCCCCGTTGCCCAGATTGTATTTGAATTCGACAAACCTGAAAATGAAGAAAAAAGTATTGCAATCGTCCGGTAGCGTATTATATTAGTTATGGAAATGTTAAAATTACTTATTCACTATTGCTATCGATATAAAATCTCCAGATCCATCTGGTTGTTGTTGATCGTATAACAAAATTCCATCGTCCGAAAAACTTTTAAATTCCATTTCTAAACTAAACCTGTGGTATGCTTTTAATTTTTTTAATTGAACGTACGAATGCCCGTTGAATGCAGCCGATTTGTGTTCTGAAATATATGTGCGTTGAACAAACTGTCATTCAAACGTTTCGTGTGTTGTGGTTTACCTTTAATTTCCTCCGGATTGGAACAAACGGTACCACTGTACGAGGTAGGGCAATGACACTGGAAACCACCGGAATCTAGTTGTTCGCATTCTCCACCGTTCTGGCATGGATTCGGATTACAGAGTGATATTTCACGATCGGTAGATTCCGATGTCGTTCTTCCGGTCAGGTCTTGGACCTCGGGAATGATATCAACTTCGTAGCCACCAGACGTGTTGTAAGAGAAATTTGGCAGTTCAGAAAACAATAGATGCCGTGTTGACTTCGATATGATTATGTCCTGAGGTTCGGTGAATTTTGGTCCTTCCGTACCAGGTATGACATTTTCATCTGTGCAATCAACAAAATCAATATTGAAAAAAATCGATTAGTCGAAAATTTTGTAGTACTATACAGCTGGTTATAATGGTTACTAACCTTTACACGATGTATGTGACTTGACAACAATGTCTTTTTGATAGCGGCACGCATATAATTTTAGTTGACACTCGGAACTATACGTTTGTCCATCACTACCACACACCAACTAAATATTGGATTTAGATGAAATATTCTATTGTAATGCATTCATAATAAACTTACAGTTGTACGTATAGCGTCCTCAGCACATGTTGCTCGACATACACATGATGGTTTGTCGTTGTTCATTTCACACACACCGCCATAATAACAAACGAGTTGACTACAAGACGTTAGATTTTGCATTGCCATGTCAGCTAGAAATTCAAATATTTATCGATAGAATAACTATACATATTATAATATTATACATTAATTTTGATAATAAAATAGAACGCATTTTAAAAACCTTAAACTACGCTATAATATGACTATATGAGGTATTAAACTTATACATTAAATTCATGCATGATAAAAAACATTGCGTAATGCATTTGCATATAATGTATGGGTACATTTTTATTTGAGATTATTTTAAAAAAATAATATTTCACTTAAAATTTAGTATTTAATTAGTAACTTATTAAGTTTAAAATGTGTTTTAAATTTGATTAAAATTAACAGTGGTACACATACGTGAAACACATCCAGCAGGATTTAAAATTTTAGAACTATCTTCACATTTATTGCACTTAGGTCCTATAGCTCCTGGCTTACAAACACAACGTCCAGTCATTTGTTCACAGTCGTCTCGAACTGAACCCAGTAGAGAACAACCACAAGCTGAAATAATATCTATTCATTAAATACTCCATTATTATATTTATAAATTACTTACGCATGCACCCTTGATGGTTTGATGATATTTTTGGTAATCCCCAATATCCGGGTTCACACCGATCGCACTTCTCTCCACCAACTCCTGATTTGCATAAGCATTTGTTATTGACACATTCTTCTGATATCGACCCTAAAATAAATGTTAAAGTTATTTAGGTTATATTTTATAAGAGTATTATTGTAATTTTTAAACAATATTATTCACCTAATTTATTGCAATTGCATAAAAAAGGACAATCTAGGTTTTTTGGTCCTTTTGCCGGAGTCTTTTTATCAGGGCAACAGCCGTAAGACGAATTTTGACAACTATCCGAAACTATTGTTGTATCTAAATTAATTATTAAATAGTCCACATAGTACATACTTATTCATTACATTACGATAAACTGCTATAATATAATAGAATTTTGATGTATTACCACGATCAGATTTATTACAGCATTTAGCAAATCTAGAGGTTTGATGACAATAACTGCCCGATGGACAATCTTGTCTATCAGGGCCGTGACCGCAGTCTAATTCTCTCCCATTTAGATGGTTTATTAAGGGTTTTTTACCGTTACAAGGTTTTACTTCCATGCCTTTAAAACAATAACGTTAACACTGGAGCCATACAAATTTTAAATTTATAATAATGTAGTTATGTGAACGACACATACCTTGGCACAATTCCATGGGCCTTAATCGGAGTTCTTGTTGTTTTTGACACCCTTCCATTTTCATTAGACACG